GAGAAAACCACGAGAGAGATTTAATCATCATCTGGGACATGTTGCCATAGGCAAGCCCAATGCAAAATGCTGTGCATATGTTCAGTAAAGCAGTATCTCCTCTTCTTTTTCTCTTCCCCCACCTCAAAACACCCACCCTTTGCAGCATATAAGACCCTGGTGGGCTTGTGCAGTATAAGTTTGTGCCTAATTACATTAAAGAAATACACTGTTACTGCTTCCTTCCTTCTACCTTTCCTGAGGTCCCTCACTTGATTCCCTGGCCTCTTTGACCCTGGTTCATTATTGAACACACATATGAACATCCTTCTAGTAAACCTGGCCTTCACCTGGCTTTCAATTGCTGTTAAGGTATTTCCTTCTGAGGACTTCATATATGGCTCCTCCCAGACAGACTGCATTTCATTGCAGGAATAGGATTGCATGGAAGAAAAAGCACAAACTTTGGAGTCAGACAGAATTGTGTTAAAATCCTGGTTCCAACACTATAAACATCAATAGAATAATAAGGATATGTTGGGAGTGATTTTATGCCAATAAATTCAACAACTTAGATGAAATGCACAAACTCTTTAAAAGGCACAAATGACAAAAACTGACTGAAGAAGAAATAGAAAATCTAAAGAGTCCTATTTCTATTAAAGAGATGGAATTAGTAATAATAATAATAATAAAAACTTTCCAAGAAGTTTTACAAGTAAATACCAGGAAGAAATAATACCAATCCTCCATAAACTCTTACAGAAAATAAAGAAGAAAGAATACTTCCCAAATCATTTTATGAGAATTATGAGCGTTACCCTGACACCCAAACCAAGAACATTGCAAGAAAAGAAGTTACAGGCTCATTAATATAGTCATAATAATCCTTCACAAATTATCAGTAAATTGCATATAGCAACATGTTAAAAAAGGGTGATACATCATGGTCAAGTGGGATTTATATCAGAAATGTAAGACTGGTTTAACATTCAAAGATCAATCAATGTAATTCATCATAATAACAGAATAAAGAAGGAATACTATTTAATACTTATTTAAACAGATGCAGAAAATGCATTTGACAAAACTCAAGACCCATTCATGGTTAAAAAAAAAAACAAACAAACAACTCCATAAACTAGAAATGAAAGGGAAATTCCTTAACTTAATAAAGGGTATTTGTGATAAATTTATAGTTAACAGTATACTTAATAGCGAAATACTGAATGCTTTTCTCCTACTGTTGGAAACATCAAAAATAACATCCATTCTCATCCTTCCTATTTAACACTGCATTGGAGGTCCTAGCTAGTGCAGTAAGGCAAGAAAATGAAATGTAAGTCTTATGGATTAGAAAGAAATAAGTAAAAGTGTCTTTATTTGCAGAAATAGGTACTTAGAAAATCCTAAGATATCTATGAAAAAGTTACATATGTTCATACAAAAACTCATTTAAAAATGTTCATAAAAACTACTTTCATAATTGCAAAAAACTGGGAAAATGCAAATGTCTATCTTTATATAGATGCATGGATAAACAAATACTCAACAGTAAAAAGAAACAACCAACTGATACATGCACAAATACAGATAAAAATTTAAAACATTATGCTGATTTAAAAAAAAAAGCCAAATACAAAAGAGTATATAGTGACTTCACTTTTGCAAAAAATAAGGAAATCTAATCAATGATGGAGAAAGCAGATCATTGTTTGTGTGGGAATGGAGTGGGAATTGATTGGAGAGGGGCACAAGGAAACCTTTTGGAGTCATGGAAATGTTCCATGTCTGGATCGTCACAGTAGTTCTAGGGATGTATACATTTGTCAAGACTCATTACCCATAGAGTTCAAATGTGCACATTTTATTGTTTGCAAATTTTACCTCAGTAAAGTCTATTTTAAAATATCTTCTATCCTCATCATTTACAGAGTGACCTAGACTATCTTTCAGAGTCTCAATTTCATAAAATGGAAATATTTACTTTACACATTTGCTGTGATGATCTAAGTAAGTGTTACAGTGATCTAAATAGAGTACTTGGGACAGAATGAGTGAGCACTTAATAAAAACTAACTTGTAATTAGAAAGTTATACCTGAAGTCACAAAGACATGAGTCCTTGATGGCAAAGTTTAAGATATAACAAGAAATGTGGGAGATACTTTAAGTCAGGAACTCTTGCTGTGCCTCAGAATGGTCACTTTTCCTAATTCTTCCAAGCTAACACCAGGTCCGGAACTTAAATGATATGGTCTTATGTTTTAAAGCAATTTTATTTCATTTGACTCTCAAAGCCATCTTTGGAAGTAGATAGATCCTGAACATATGACCCTACGGAGTGCAGAGAAGGAAAGGGACTTGCCCAAGGTCACACAGCTCAATCAAGTCTAAAGCACAATGATTTGGAGTAGCCTAATATGTTATCCAGAGACAGGTGGGGAGGAGGATGGGGAGGGAGGTTCTGCTTATGGCAGAGCATCAGAGCAATTGCTCTGGTTGAAGCATTTTACTTCAGAGATGAGGTGTCGTGCCCAAAGTCACTGGGAAAATTAGTGGCAGAATGAGGCATCTCCTGAATCTCAGCCCAGCATCTCCTGCCTCCCTTTGCCTCTTGGCAATGGTGATGGACCTGGTACTTGCCTTTGACCTTCAGCAGGGCTTAGCAGCACAAGATGCGCTCCATGTGTTTTCCTTGTCTTTCTGGCAGTGTGGTCCTCTGTCTCCCCTACATCCTCCTGCTGGGGATGATGAAGGTCGGTGGCCTGCCGACCCAGCTGTTCCGGCCGGGGAGGATGCCCCACTCCTGGCTGCCAGGGAGCGGAAGGGGTGGAGTAATTAATTTCTATGCATATCATTGCCAGGATCACTTACTGATCTGAGGAGGGAGATTGGAGATGTCACCCCGTAAATTGAGTCAGAGCCTTCACCTCAGTGCTTGGCTGGCAATTTCACACGGTGCCTGACACAGTAACAAACACAGGGTACAAAAAGGCAGCAACTCCCCTGGGTGATGGACAGGGGGAATTGGCCCAATAAATTGTTCCCTGTAAAAAGCCATGTTTCCCTCATTAAAAGGCAGTGAATTCTCTATTGCTTTTCATTAGCTCTGGCCTTGCTAGACACGAGGTGTAATTGACAGTGTGGTTACAGGAGGTGGGCCCCGAGGTGAGGGAGACAAAGAAGCTGAAAAGAGATTCTTATTTATTAAGGTGGAGGTGACAGGCGGCTGCCTAATAAGTTTTTGGCGTGGGGGCCAGGAGGTGGGAGAGTGGTGGGGTCCTCTGAGGGTTGCTCCAAGGGCATTGTACCCAGCAGAGTAAGGAGCTGGCCAGGCCTAGGACAGAGGCACACCCCGAGCAGTGGGGGCTGGAGGTCACTCCTGGTCACCACTTGCATCCTACCTGGGAGAGGACCGGGGTCTAAAGACCTGGGGTGTCTGGCCTTGCATTTGGCACTGACTGGCCACTCAGCCATCTTGGGAAAGTGACCACGTCTCTAGCTAAAAATGGGAATGGGATCGAGAGAGTGCCTGTCAAGGAAAGCACTCAGGCGGGAGGCACAGGGGGTTAAAAACCCCACAGACACACTTCTGATTTCTATAACCATTTCTTTTCTTCGTATAAGCATACGCCCAAGAATTCTTTTTTTCTTCTACAAGGTGTAATTTGACCCTCACTATTCATTTACGGTTGCTCACATTGTCCCAGAGCCTTCAAGCTGGCTCCTGGGTCTCCCGATGTCCCCTGTGTTCTTGGAGCCCTTCCTTACCTTCCGGCACAAGCAGGTGCTCCAGGCCCATCCTATACGCCTTCTACTTTCATGCCCGAGCCCAGGTTCCTTTTAGTGAGTCAAAAAGCAAAACCGGATCGAATAAGAGCTATGCCCCCACACTTAAGACTGAGGTGCAGACCATCGAGGTAGTACACAGCCTCACACACGTCAAGGGTTTAAGAAGGCAGAAGTCAAAGGGGCAGAGGGTTTTTCTGGAGAGTGTGAACTTTGGGCGTGCCCCCTGAGTCCTACATCTCACGGGAGAGGGGGGAGCTGTGCCTCCCCTTCACCTCAGGTCTAGTGAGAGGGCCTCCAAGGAGGCACTCAGAAAGTGAGAGGTCACTAGGCTGGTGTCTGACACATGCTTAAGGTAATGAGGAGGAGAGAAGGCCACCTGGCTGCACTGGAGCCCCTCGGGCGGTGGGGACCTAGAGCCACAGGGAAGGTGTACGTGGCCTGCCTCACCGCCCGAGCAAAAGCATCACCCCTCATGGGAATTGCTACCCAGCCAATTGGGAGAACCCACGAAGCTGGGCCAAAGGCATTTCCCCATAGTAAAGCGTATGGTTCTCTCCACCAACATTCCTCCCCGGAGGTTTAAATTCTCCTCCTTTCCCTCTTCTCCCTCCTCTTTGGGGGATGCCCAAGGACCATCCCAGATGCCTGCTACTCCATGCCTAGTCGTCCTCAGAAGAAATACTGGCAAAATGGGAGCCTTAAAATTAAATAGCATAGAGTGCCCAATAATTAATTTGATTTTATACCCATTGTTTAATACAACTTCAAAACTACATTAAGGAGGCAGAACTGTGCGGTGTAGCATGAAAATGAGCTGGAAGCTTTCCAAGCGGAGGCCAGGAATGAGCAAATTGGTCAGATGTACAGGGTGGCTCCAACTAAGATGTAATCAAGAAGCCACACTTGTGATGTTTTATCAGCAAAAGATACTGAAAGCACTCGGCTTCCTGGTCCCCAGGCTTGTGGAATGGCCAGAGTGGAGGCAATGTCAACCACAGATCTGCGGGGAGACTGTGCTGGACATCCCTAAGCCACAGGAAGGAGGCAGCATCTGTGCGGCTCCCCCTCGAGACGGTTAATTTTATGTGTCAACCTGACTGGTCCAGGGCCACCCAGATATCTGCTTAAACATTCTTCTGGGTGTGTCTGTGGAAGTGTTTCCAGAAGAGGTCAGCAGACTGAGTAAAGTAGACTGCCTTCCCCAGTGTGGGTGGGCCTCATCCAGTTCACTGAAGGCCAGACTAAAACACAAAGTGGAGGAAGGAAGGGCTCCCTCTGGCTCTGTCTGACTGAGCTAAGACAACAGCCTCCTGCTCTCAGTACTCCTGCTTCTCAGGCCTTCAGACTCACACCGGAATCCAAATCATTAGCTCTCTGGCACTCAGGCCTTTGAACTACACCTCTGGCTCTTCCGAGTCTCCAGCTTGCGGGTGACCCATCGTGGGACTTCTCACCTCCACAACTGCATGGGCTAATTACTTATGATAAATGTATCTGGAGAACCCTGGCAAACACACCCTATTCAGATGCCATTTGCTCCCAAGTGCTTGCTGATATCTGGAGGAAGACCTTACAAAACCCCTCTGGGCCTGATCTCTGCCCCTTTAAAGGTAACTTGGGAGCTCTGGGCGTGAGGCAGAGTCACCTAAGTTAGCAAAGGCTTGGTTCCCGTACCCTGGTGCTTGTACCCAGCCATTGTCTTGCTCTCTTGCCCTTCTGGTTTCTTTGTCTTCCCTGAATTGGAGCATCTTATGAGCTTTATGACCACCTTCGGCCCTGAACAGTAAATACAGATTTTGCCTACCTCTCCCTTGCCTCCAGGACTTCCTGGAGCCTGACCACAGACCCAGGTTGTAACCTCATCCTACCCAGTCCCCTTCTGATGTCCAATTACCATCACCCTGGCCCCTGATGCCCAGTTTACCTCCTGGCACCTTGGACATGTGGCCTAAGCTAGGCTTTAGTCCCTGGCAGGACTCCCTGGAATCGGACTCACAGCCCACCCATCTGACTCACAGCCCTCAGCTCCACCTCCAACACCAGCCTCCCAGGCTCTCCCCAGCCCCATCTTATCCCATCTTGACCTCGTACTGTGGGCTTCCAGGCTTGCCCGATCTCTTCCTTTCCTGGCTCCTCGTCAGCTTTCACAACGGGCTACCTCTTTGACCTACTGTGGTCAGTGTCTGCCCAGAGTAGCCACATCTTCCTCAGTCTTCCAGCTGGGCCACTTGGCAACACTCCCTCCCTTTCCCGCCACACTCACTCAACCTCAAGCCAGTCTGTCCTCAGTCAGAAATGTATGAACTAAGGAATCCAGATGCCCCTGGCTGGGTAACCCGGCTGCCAGTCCCCGTCAGACTTCTAATGCAGAATTGCACTTTCTTCCTGAGGCTGTGTCCCACTTTGTGCCCCAATTTTGGTAACTGGGACCCCTTCTTGTTCTCTTGAGTCTCAGTCTTGATAACAGGCCAAACTTCAGCTTTTCTAGCCCTTGGGCCCTGCCTGGGACCTATCAGCCCCACGCTGGCTAAGCATTTAGGGGCCTGCCCTTTGCCAGCCGGGCATCCAGCCAGTGGCTGCCACCATGTCTCTTGTTTAATTCCTATGCAAGCCAGATCCAACCCCCCAACCCTTCCCGCGGGTCTGTCCTGCTGCAGGCTGGCCTATCGCACTTCGGCATGTGCTCCTGACACTGCCTTTTCCCAGCCCCAACTCCCTCCCCAGGGAGGTGTGTGCTGCAACGCCCCAGGCTCCGCCCCATCTAGACCACTCTCTGGGCAGTGACATTTAGTCCAACAGTCTTATCTAATGACTAATTTCTACACCATCAATTAATATGGCCATAGTGTTGAACTAAACGTATGGAAAATGTAACAGCAAACACTCGGTCAATTGATTTCTCCACCTGCATTGTAATTAGAGATAAGAAGGCCACAGATTATCAAGGCTAGATTGTGTGTTAAGGACTCTGATTGCAAAAGAGTTAAGAGAAGGAAGGGCGAAGTCAATGCAGGTTGGATCAGACAGATTTACTGTTTTAGAGATCTTTGGAGCTCTCACCTTCATTTTCTGTGCAATTAGGGACAAGGAACTTAGTCAATATTCTTTCACACCTGGAATAGTGCTAACATTATTGACTCATACAAGGATGTGAAAACTAAAAGAAGTTTCATACAAATTTACATATTAATTTATCAATCATTCAAGCATTTATTGAATACCTTCTATGTCTCAGGCAAGGTATTGGGCACTGGGGATCTCCAGATAATAAGACACAGTTGCCCAGAGAACTTGCAATCTAGAGAGGAAGATAAACTTGGTTATTTGTGGTCAGTGCAGTGACAGTGATATGCAAAGTGTACTATGGGAGAAACAGGCAGGGTGTCCGGGGAAGTAAGACAGCGGGGTGGAGAGATGAGGATGTGATGATGACCATGGCCCAAAAGAATAAACGTGGCTTCATCAGACAAAGGAGATAGAAGAGCTTTCCAGATAGAAGAAGCAGCATTAACAGAGGCATTTGGTGGAGGAACAATTTGGGGAGTGAGTGTATGTGTGTGTGTGTGTGTGTGTGTGTGTGTGTGTGTGTGTGTGTGTGTGTTCAGGGGCAGGGGGGAATTTGAAACTGATTAGGGTTCTTAGAGCACAAGGTTAAGGGCAGAAGATAACATGAGATCAGCCTGGAGATGTGTAAAGGCCTAAATCCCATATTAAGAAGCTGGGGAATTACCTGCCCGTAAAAAACGGGAGATCACTTGATACATTAAGCTCAGGAGCGACATGGTCAGATTTGGTGTCAGAAAGCTCACGGGGCCGAGGCGGTGGAGGAAGGGAACAGAGGAGAGCAAGCTGCGAAGCGGGAAGAACGGCGCAGGGCTTTGGTGAGCAGGGATCCGAATGAGGGGTCGTGAGAACCTGAACGAGGTGAGGCATGATGGCCTGGCGACAGGTCAGATCACAGCACGGAGAGACAAAACATGGGGAGTGTAGAGAAGAGCACAGGGGCCATTTGGGACAT